CATCGAGCAGCTAGCAAAAACATAGGTCCCCCGTTTCCGTCTATCTGCTTTCCACCGTCTGTGTCAATTTTTGTTAGACAGATAATCCCTGAAACTACCCGACCGATTGTTGTCAAATTTTATATGAATATCATTAAGACAGTAAAACTCTATCTAAACTAATCATCTCCGCCAACAATGTGATGACTTCACCTCAAAATTGTACATAGAAAATGGGTTTTAAATAGTACAAAATAACATAGCCCTGTAGGTGTAGTTTATAAATCCGTGTTGAGTTTTTACCCGAGAGTCGAGACATCCAGATGTTTTGTAAAAAAAAAATCAAATTGAGAACAACGTTTTTCAATTTAACTTTGAATCTACAAAACCGGATGTTTTGAAATCTTGCAGACGCGTTAAAGTTATCGTAAACACGGTAAATTTTTAATCAAAATATATTTGTTTTGATTTAACAAGACATTCAAATTTTTTTTAGAATAGTTTATACAGGTGGCTAGGAAAATATCCTTCGTGTCTGTGTTTGCGCTCGTGATTAAACGACTAAATGAGTCGTCCTTATGATATTATACCGTGGATTCATTAATTATTTAGATCAGTGGAGGCTGTGGACGTTGAATTGACAGATTAAGATTGTTTTTGATGCTGTGGTGACCGAATTTGAATCAAATTTTCGCGCTGAAATTAAAATCTAAAATCGTTAAACATAGGCAACCATGTGCACGTTAGCGCTTTGTGGGTAGTTGGTAGCTCAGTAGGGGATGTTTTAGTTAGAGGGCGATAGTGGTAGACAAGATAGCGGCATGGCGAAAACATGGTGAAAGGGTCATTATTGTTTTGGTGGTGTGTTTGGGAATATGGTGAAAAAGACGCTGTAAGTTAGCTAGGTTAAATTAGTTGGCTTGGTAATTAATAAAAGGGAGGAAGCCTTTGTTTAACGAAAATTAATCGTAACGATGACGTCACAGTTTTCCCAATAAACTGTCAAAATCAATTATTTTAAGTAACCAATCACTTGGATCAAGACATAACTTAACACAATGTAAACTCTTTGTTTGAATCGTTGATAAAGTGTGGCAAATATTAATCTCATGTAAATTTTGTTAGCTTTGCAATTTTTCACCTCATAAAATATTTCTCTATCTCACAATTATAACTTCAGTAATTTTCTTTGTTGTACAATTTAAATTGAACGTAAACTTTCAAGCTCTGCAGTTTTAACCTCACGTAATTTTTTTATTTGCACAAGTTTATTCCAGACCAGATCTTTTGTTTTTATAAATATTTGCTAGTTTTTGTTTTGTAAATATTTTGTTGATATATGTTTCCATCGTACAAATTATCTGCGAATTTAAATGTTGTTTATTGCTATTTTTGAAACTTTAACACTTGTTCAGTTGTCGTTAATATTAGAGTCATAGAAAGTGAACTTTTAAAATAGAATTGAGGTAAACAACACCGAATATGTGGCAGAAGCGGAGTGCGCGGTTCCTAGTCGAGCTGACGAGATTTATTGCGCCATCTGTACAAAAGATGCAGATTAGAATAGAATTCAGGGGCGGTCGAGATAACGTTGTCGGCTGCGAGTTTGTGACCGTAACGGCCTGTAGGGGAAAAGTGCCTAAAATGATCCCCTCAGGTCAAATGATCCCCATCAATTGTAAGAAAATTTGTGGCTCCATCTACCAAACATAACTGTCATTTGATTAAGCGCTCTGTAATTAGTACCTTCTGAAAGTTTGATGGCGTTCTGTGTATTCTACACAGTTTTGTGCCAAAATATGTAAAATAAGCACCTCTGATCTAAGGTAAGATATATTTTAAAAGTCCATTACTTCCATTTGAAAGGTCTTATAGCGGTGGTAGTTGTTTTGACAGAATTAGATACATTTCAGTCGTTGGTTAGTTATGATCTTTTTACCGCATGTAAAAATTGAAGGTTAGTTTACAATTTTTGAATGCGGATATGCTACCTAAGGCGAATGATCCCTTTTTCTTGAGGCAAAATGATCCCGGATCATTGGGCGGGGCTAGTACCTGCTAAGATAAGACTGATTTTTGCAAATCATATACCTTCTAAGAAAAGAGAGGGTGGGTGGGCGGGCCTAGTACCTGCTAAGATAAGACTGATTTTTGCAGATAACATATCCTCTAACCCCGCCCACCTACTCTTTATTTTCTTTGAGGGAATACCATTTGCCAATATCAGTTTTATCTTAGCAAGTACTAACCCCACCCACCCGCCCGTTATTTTCTTAGAATGTATATTATTTGCCAATATCAGCCTTATCTTGCCAAGCACTAGCTCGGCCCATCCGCCCTTTATCTTGTTAGAGGGCTAGTACCTAATAAGATAAGACTGATTTTCGCAAATGACATATCCTCCAAGAAAAGAGAGGGAGGGTGGGCGGGATACTACCTGCTAAGATAAGACTGATTTTTGCAGATGACATCTCCTCTAACCCCGCCCACCCACCCTTTAGTCTCTTCGAGGGAATACCATTTGCCAATACCAGTTACTAGCCCCACCCACCTACTACCTGCTAAAATAAAACTGATTTTCGCAAATGAAATACCCTCTAAGAGAGGAGAGGGAGGGTCTTAAGACGGGGAAATTTAAATAATTTAAAAGAATTTTAGGGATTTTCGTGTTCTATTTTTGGGAAATTCTCAGTCTTAAGAGGTACTAATCCCAGTCACCCGCCGTCACTTTTCTTAAAGGGTATCTCATTTGCCAAAATCAGTTTTATATTAGCAAGTATTAGCCCCACCCACCCACCCTCTCTTTTCTTAGAGGGTATATCATTTGCCAAATTCAGTTTTATCTTAGCAGTTAGTAGACCCGCCCACCCGCCCTCTCTTTTCTTAAAGGCTATATCATTTGCCAAATTCAGTCTTATCTTAGCACTTACTAACCCCACCCACCCACCCTCTTTTTTCTTAGAGTGTATGTCATTTGCCAAATTCAGTTTTATCCTAGCAGTTACTAGCCCCACCCACACACCCTCTCTTTTCTTAGAGGGTATATCATTTGCCAAATTCAGTTTTATCTTAGCAGGTAGTAGGCCCGCCCACCCGCCCTCTCTTTTCTTGGAGCGTATCCCATTTGGCAAAATTAGTCTTATCTTAGCACGTACTGATGACTAAAGTATTGTCTCAAACTCTTCCAGAAATTATTTTCGGTGCTTTTCAAACTTTTTTTGTTTATTTTTTTTAAGAATTTATTTTTTTGTTAATTTTTGAAATAAAATATTTATCAGTTAAGTCATGATTTGATTTTTCTTGTTGATGCTGTCCCCTTATGGTCAAAATTCAAAGGGATCATTATGCCCATGCCGAGGGATCATTTTACCTATGGGGATGCCTAAATGATCCTTTTGTAAGGTCCTGGAAAAACGTTAATAACTTTTTTTATAATTATCGAATCACCAATTGGCTTATACTGTTACCTAGATAAATCAATGTTCTTACAAATAATACTACAGTTTTACATGAATAATAATAATTTGTATTTTTTTAAGAATTTCTCCCTTAGGGGGATCATTTTAGGCACCTTTCCCCTACGTACCGCTTGTCCGTAATAGAGAATTGCTTTGCGGTAGGCTTGCGATAGATAGAATCACCGTCGCGGAGGAGAACAGCTACGACCGGTAGCCCCAAACTCCACTTGTGGCTATTTTCATTGTGCTCTTGTTGACTGCCATAATTTTTAAATTGTCACCACACACGTCTGAAATAACTTGTGTATATGCATCCAGTTACTTTAATTCAGATTTTGCTTTGTTTTTATTAAATTTGTGATATCCAAATATTTGCATTGATTCAGAACGTTTAATTTGATTTCATTCCAAGTCATTCAAAGTTTTTTTTTTGGAGCTGAACAGCGATTGCGATTCGGCCCCCTCTGGGCAGCCTGAGGGGAAGTCACGAGTCGCCCTCGTACGTAGCTTTTTTTACCTCACCATTTGCATCTGAACGCATCCCGCCTTTTTTCAAAAACACAACGTAGGGTTCCATTTTGTTGGACGATCACAGCCAACGCCAAATTTTGAATTTTTAAATTTTTCCCAGGCTTTCATTTTTTTTTTCACATGACAATTTAAGGCGGGATGTTTAGGTTATCAACTTATCACAATGCATTCAGCTGCGTTCGTGTTTTTCTAGTTTTCAACAAGCTTCCATGTATAAATTGATTTATGTCTGTATGCAACCAATATTACACATGTGTTTGTTTAATTGCATAAACTGAAAATCGAGAAGACACGTTCAAAATCGCACTTGATCTAAATAATTATTAATGAACACACAGTATATGATTATGTATATGGGGACAAAAAAATCCGCACACACTTTAAGTTGTTATAGATCAATTTAGCTTTGAGAAAAATCAGTGGTTTCGTAATGTTATTTTTAAGCGACTAATATAAAAATCGATACTTTACGACTCGATTTGCGTCCGTAAAGTGTTATTTTTTCGGACTGAACTGTCAAAATTACTTTTTTGGACTGAAGTGTGTCATATCTGCTAACCTTTCTTCGAAGTCCTGATGTGTTTACCTTACATTTAGCATGAGATATCTACTTATAACAATAATTATAAAGACTACAGGGTTTTGGTCCAACGAAATAAAGTTTATTAGTTTTTGAATAAAATAATAATAAATAAGTTCAGATTTCAGAATGGAAACGAAAGACTTAAATTACTTTTTAAATTCTAGGAACTATCTAATTCGAAAACATGAAATTAGTCATTGCGCTCGGGAGTAAAAATATATTCTGGTGTCGAACAACACATAGTAAAAGATGTATTACACATAATAACATACTTGTGAGTAAAATTACAAAGCAGAAGATAATATTTTTTTGAAATATCAGTGTTAACACGTAAGGTTGTAGTGTAAAGTGTGTAAAATTGTTATTGCAGTGCTTTTTACACCATAACATTAACTACAAACCTAAATGTTAAAATTAAATTAAAGAAAAAACGTTAAAGTTTTTCTCACCCTATGATCCTTGGGTCTTGTTTCTTGTCTGCGCGGTGGTCCACCTTCCACATCAGGATAGATGAGATTTCGTACCGCCCCCACGAACCTAGGCTCAAAAATGACGCTCGGCAACGCCAACAAGGTCAGTTTAGTGTTGTACCAAGTAGGCATTCCTCCGACAAAAACATCCGAATTGGTTCCAAACCGTCCAAAATTGAACTCTTTTCCTCTGGAAGTCCGCATTTGCGACACATTATCAACGGTTAAAATGGTTCTGTCCTCATGTCTTTGCACGTGCACTTTATGCCAGTGGCCGTCATTGAGTTCTCTTCCCACAGTTATTATCTGCGCACCGCCACCCAAATTATAACGTAAACGTAGCGCTCCCTCGACAAGCTTTATTTCAAAAAAATCATAGGTACCACCGTCGTCCGTGTAGAGCAGTAAGCCGTTAGGCTGATCGGTTTTAAATTCAAATTCTAAACTTCCATTAGTGCCGCCGCCCCATTTACGGAATTGAGAGTAAGAGTTTGTGGAGCCGTCAAGTAAAAACCCGGAGCAAAAACCAAAAACCACAAACACGGCAGCTACCACCAGCGACCGCATTTTGATGGAGCAGGGAACATTAACACACCGCACTTTTGTATTGAGATATAGATTTTTCAAATATTTGATAATCTGTTGCACTAGACGAACATTCGCGATTGTTCATGGCTAAGGATAGAATTTTCACCGACGATTAAGAGTAAGATCCGACACAATATTATTAATCACAGTTTAAGGAGTCTTTCAGCTAAGCAGCAATACATGTTTAACAAAAAAATGTTTCTCAACCGTGTGCATTGGCAACATCCTGACAAAAAATATTACAATTTTTAAACGACATTAATGCCCATTTTCCGAAACATTATTGCATTAGTAAATAGTGTGCTTTCAAGTTCGTAACAGGTATCTTTTCCAAATGCTAGCTTGTTTTATGGCCTGGAACAATCTCAATTACCGCAAGCATTAGGAGCTCGAAATTCACGATCGATTCCGCATTCATTCACTGAGGGTATGGGCAAAAGAATATTAACAAAAATGAACAAGAAGCGACACTTGTGTCGATACCTTTTATGTCTTGTTCATCAATTTGGTGACCTTCAGCCATTTTGTTGGCGTGATTGGACGCGGGAATTTTGAAAGTTAAATAATTTGTCTGTCAACGAAACATATACATGAACATTTAATAAATATATGTTCTTATTACTTCCCGAGCGTAAGCAAAGGAAGTATTGTAATCGAGTCCGTCGGCCGACTCTCTACTTTTACGTTTTCTCGATCTTTCATGACCCCTAGAAGACGAAGAAATAGGTCTCCCATTTCCGTCTGTCTGTCCGTCTGTCCGTCTGTCCGTCCGTCTGTCGTCCGTCTGTCCGTCTGTTGTCCCGGATTTTTATTAGACAGATAATCTCCGAAAGTACTCGACCGATTGTTGTGAAATTTTGTAGTTATATTAAGAATATCATGTAGATGGTAAAACGCTAACCAAAATTTGTCTAATCATCCCCACCACTAATGCGATGACGTCACTTCAAAATTGTACATAGTAAATGGGTTTTCAATTGTATAAAATAACATAGTCCTACACATGTAGTTTACAACTCTGAATCGACTTTTCACCCGAAACGTCCAGATTTTTGGAAAAAAAATCAAAATTATAAAACAACATTTTGAAATTTAATTTTTAATCTGCTAACCAGAATGCTTTGAAATGTTGCAGATGTTTTAAGGCTATAAAGAGCATCATAAATCTTTAGTCAAAAAATATTTGCTTATCCCCTCCAAAAACTTGATGACGTCAGCTCAAAAGTTTGTGGAATAAATCATATCTAAAATGTACAAAATATGATGAGTCTGTACTTGTGATCTATCACTCCATTCATATTTTCTGGATTTGCATATACAGGGTGACTCAAAAAAATTAATGAATGCGTAAATATATTTTATTGATTTAATCAGGAACTACAAAACCGAACGCTCTGAAATCTTGCAGTTGTTTTAAGGTCATAATAAATGTTTAGTCAAAATATATTTGCTTAGCCCCTCCAAAAACTTCATGACGTCAGCTCGAAAGTTTGCCGAATAAATCATATCTAAAATGTACAAAATATGATGAGCCTACACTTGTCATTTATCACTCCATTCATATTTTTTGGATTTGCATATACAGAGTGACTCAAAAAAATTAATGAATGCGTAAATTTATTTTATTGATTTAATCAGGAACTACAAAACGGAATGCTCTGACATCTTGCAGATGTTTATGGTTATAAAGAGCATAATAAATGTTTAGTCAAAATATATTTGCTTATCCCCTCCAAAAACTTGATGACGTCAGCTCGAAAATTTGCCGAATAAATCATATCTAAAATGTACAAAATATGATCAGTCTGTACTTGTGATCTATCAAACCATTCATTTTTTTGGATTTGCATATACAGGGTGATTCAAGAAAATAAATGAAAGCGTAAATTTATTTTACTGATTTACTCAGGAACTACAAAACCGAATGCTTCGAAATCTTGAAGATATTTTAAAATTATCATAAGCATGGTAAATTTTTGATCAAAACGTATTTGGTCGTCCCCCCTAAAAAAATTATGACGTCACCACAAAATTTTGCTGAATAAATCCTATCTAAAATGTACAAAATATGGTGAGTTTCTTCTTGTGATTTATCATTCCACTCAAATTTTTTCGATTTGCATATACAGGGTGACTCAAAAAAATTAATGAATGCGTAAATTTATTTTATTGATTTAATCAGGAACTACAAAACCGAATGCTTTGAAATCTTGCAGATGTTTTAAGGTTATAAAGAGCATAATAAATTTTTAGTCAAAATATATTTGGTTATCTTCTACAAAAAACTGATGACGTCAGCTCAAAAGTTTGCCGAATAAATCGTATCTAAAATGTACAAAATATGATGAGTCTGTACTTGTGATTTATCATTCCATTCATATTTTTGGATTTGCATATGCAGGGTGACTCAAAAAAATTAATGAAGGCGTGAATTTATTTTATCGATTTAATCAGGAATTACAAAACCGAATGCTTTGAAATCTTGGGAATATTTTAAAGTTATTATAAGCATGGTAAACTTTTGTTCAAAATGTATTTGTTCATCCCTCCTAAAAAAATTGATGACGTCACCCTTAAATTTTGCTGAATAAATCCTATCTAAAATGCAAAACATATGATGAGTTTGTACTTGTGATTTATCATTCCATTCATATTTTTTAGATTTTCTTAAGAGGTGGTTCAAAAAAATTAATGAAGTCAATTTATTTTATTGATTAAATTAAAGACAACACTTATTATTAGTATTACACCCCAACCAACCCAATTTGGTAGACACAAAATTTGTTAAAGGAAAAACTCGGTTGAAACATAAGGGTAGCACGCTTATTTACATCGACTTTAACATTACAGACCTGCATTTGTTTTATGCGCTCACTTGGTTCCGCGAATGTGAAATAGACATGTTTATAATCAACCAATTGTGAATTTCACCGTCAAGAATTAAAATAAAACCCAATGTTTTATATAATAAGCGGAAGTCGAAGCAATAAAACCGATGGTCGTTTTGTTTGCAGTTTCTCTGTTTGACTCTCACGTATGGTGTTACGCCTGTCATCTTAAATTAAGAATGTTTATACATACACGATTTTCAGTTGCCTCTGATACGTATACGTGAGTAAATTGTTTCGTTATTTTATTGATTATTACAAATCAATATTCAAAACGACCCAATTCATTTTCCCGAAAATTTGAGAATATAATAATTTTATTCTTAGTATTACACTACATCTATCCCAACTGATATACGTGTCCTTGCAAAAATGTTGATGACGTCATCGCAATTTTTTTTTAAATTCCCACTACAAAAATGTAATGAGAAAAAAAACACAATAGGCATGCAGTCGTCAAGTTTCCGACAGCGAGGGAAGTACTGTCTAAACTCTTTAGACCAATTTTTAATATTTACTTTGGTTCCTATCACTTTGTTTCTTTCAAGATTTTTGAGAAATGGCCTGCTAGATCTCCAGATCTAACATCTCTCGATTTGTTTTGTGGTGTTTTAACTGTTAAAGTTGAATTATAAAAAATCGTAACAATATCAAAGGTTTGTATTTTTGGTTACGTCTAGAATTTTTTAGGCGTGGAGTTTCTCGTGAATAACCCTGTATTATCATTAAAGTTTAAAGCTGTACCAGAAGTTCCAAAGTTATAAGGGGGATCTGACTTTAAAACCGCACTGTAAGTGTTCAATGACAGTAGAACCCTAAGGCGGAGGAAATACTCCGCAAAAATCATCTGAGTTTTCACCCTAACAAAAGTTAACAAAAATTAACATGGAAATCCCTGTGTCCACTTTTAAAAGAAATCCACTGTATATAGTGTATTTCATGGACAGTATTGTTGGTCGAGTTTTCAATTTTTTAGGCAAATAACCCCATACACGAATGATTTTTTAACGAACATTTTTTTAGATAACAAGATGCGAATTATTTTTAACTTCCAGATTTGCTCTAGAAAAACTTTGACATTTTGTTGCTTGGCAACTGACGCAAACTCAATCGTTAATAGCGTAGGTGTCAAAAATGACTATCCACTAACTAATTGATATCTTTCCAAGAAGATATTTTCTGAATTATTCTAATAATTAAATTATTCCAACTAATTTAACTCTAGTGTTAATGAACGTTTTCTGTTGTTCATACATGTCTTGAAGTAGTATTTGCTAAACGAATTATTATATTTCTTAAATTTATAAGCTATGTATAATTGTTTAAAAATTTTTACCAATTGTATTAACACTAACAGTGAAATTTAGAAAATCGCACCACTAGTAATCCAATGAATAAATGTGAACAGCATCAATGCACCAGAAATACTAATTTTAGAAAAGAACGATAATTCCATGAAATAAATGTTTTTTGAACCTGCGACCTTTAGCAAATTATGCGTGAATTTAGATGAAAACTTTCTTTATTTTGTATCGATTTTGTAATATTCAAATAATATTTATGAAATACAATTATTGTAGCTACCCCTGACAAATTTAACTACTTTGTTAAAACAAGAAATCAAATATTGAATTTATTAAAATGTCCCTATTGTTAAACTTAATCACGCAGTGTTAACAAACTGGTTAAACCGAAACAAAAGTATACCATCAGAACAACTAGAAATTCGATCGTTGAAACTCTCCCCGGAGTTCACTCAATACGTCGTTGAAAATGAGGCATTCTTACAATGTCTAAATCTCTCAATTGTCGAAGATCTTACCAATGCACTAGTTTCTGAATCGACAACAAGGTTTTAGACACACTGATATTTAGGCACCCGTCACTCGTTAACTCCAATAAGAAAACAATTCACGATCAGGTCACACTGTGCTTTCGCCCGTTTGCTGCACTAGCGTAGTGCCTTGACAAATCTACCCGCGCATGTAGACCTGCGCCCCTATATGGTCAATGGCAGACATAGACGTTACGATAGAAACGTGTCCCCCATAAATCCGATTACGTATATGTACAGTGGCGTGGATCACCTGGCGCCTCCACCAAAAGTGTTAGTTAGCATCATTTGAAATGGAGACGTAACAGTCGTAACACTATTGTCGCTGGCTACTTTATGTTGAATTGTATTCAGTTTGTAATGGATTTCTCAAAAATAACATTCTTACTAGTTATTCTACGACTGGATTTGTTATAATCATAATAAACTGTTGTGTAATCTTAACCTTTTGCTAAAAATATGACTGCTTCACGATAATTAAATGTTGATTAGTAGAGAACGGATTTATATCCCGAATCTTTGATGAAGAATGAGCATATGTACACTACTGGACAAAAGTAAAGCAACTTTTATAAAAATCACAGTTTACTCGTGTTCTTCGGCAACAATCCTGTAGCTGTAGGAACGTCTTGTAATAAAAGCTGGAAGAAAATGCGAAACAAAAAATTCTGTCCTAAATCTCAATGGCGAAAAAATTTACTTTTTAGCAGATGGGCCACATTTATTAAAAAATTTAAACCAATGTTTAGTACAAAACAAAATCATTCAATTACCAAATGATTTTGTTGAAAAATATAAACTAACTTCTGATTTGGTTGACGTGCAAGACATTAAAGATTTTTGTGAAGAAGAAGGCAAATTTGAGCTGCAATTTGCGTTTAAATTAAATGTGGATCTTTTACGATCTAACCATTTTAACAAAATGAAGGTGTCAAATTCTCTAAAAGTTTTAAATCGAAATGTTAGTTGTGGAATAAAATTTGATGCGGAAGAGGAGAGAGGAGACAAATCTTCTCTAATGACAGCTGTTTTTATTGATGTTGTACATAGGTGGTTCCAGTTGATTAGTGCTAGATCAACTATTTTGGCCTTGAACAAGTTTAATATGGCTGTCTATAGAGTTATATTAAAAATAATAACAGAAAAGAAAACGATGTTCCTAAAGGAAAAGAAAATTTAGCTTTACCTAGAAATTGGAATTTTAGTAGAACAAATATTTTATAATTTGAGAGTTTATTTAAAGAATGATAGTTTCCCGTCTGAAAATCTATACCAGAAAAGCTGAAGAAGAAATAAGAAAAAAAAAATTGTTGACCTCTTAATTATTCGCTTTTGAGTTTCTTTATTTTTGTAGTTCTTTGATTTCTCAATTTTTAAATCGTTAGGTTTTTAATGTTTTTTTTTCATTTTTTCAGTTTTACAATTTTCCGATTAAAATTTCACTTTTAATAAGTTTGTCCTTTTGTTAAAAAAATAAAAAACGAAAAATTGAGAAAATGAAAAATTAAAAATAAAGCACTTCCAACTATGTAATTCCAAGTTGATTCGTTCCTTTGATTCTTTATTTTCTCAATCCGAGACTTGTAAATTTTTGTTTTTTTTAATTATTAATTTTTCGATTATTCCATGTTTCGTTTTTACATTTTTCAATTTCTCGGTTTTTTAGTTTTTCCCTTTTCATTATGATTATTATTTTTAAGTAAAATTTTTGTAGTTTTCGATTTTTTAATTTGCAGATATATATTTTAATATTTGCGATTTTCCAAGTTGCTTTTTAATTTTTCGGTTTTCCATTTTTACAATTTTTCGTTTTTTCGAATTTTCATTTTCTCAATTGTTAAGGTTTCAGTGTTACACATTTTCGATTTTACGTTTTTATTTTTGTTTTTTTTTTTCAAATTTACAATTTTATAATTGTTTCATTTTTAAATTTCCCGATTTTTAATTTTTCACTTTTTTCAAGTAATTATTATTAGGATTTTTTTTTCAAATGTACAATTCTTGGCTTTTCAATTACTCTATTTTTCTGTTTCTAGAATTCTTTCAAATCTTTGATTTCTCGGTTTTTAAATTTTTCGGTTTTTCAGTGTTTCGTCTCTTCGATGTTACAATTTTTCAGTTTTTCCATGTTTCTTTTTTTACAATTTCTTCATTTTTTAATTTTTCGGTTTTGGTTTTAAAATTTTTGGATTTTGAAATCAATTTTTTTTTATTGTTTAATTTATAGAAGTTTTTGTTTTTCGTTTTTTCAATTTTTCACTTTCTCGATTTTTAATTAATCAGGGTTTTCAGGTTTCAATATTACAATTTTTCGATTTTTCAATAGTTTGAACATTTTAATTATTCGATACCTCAATTTTTAAATTGTTAGGTTTTTCAGTGTTTCTTTTTCGATTTTTCAGTTTTTAATTTTTTGATTTTTCAATTTTTCAGTGTTACAATTTTCCGATTTTTTGTTTTTTAAAAATTCACTTTTAATAAATTTGTTCTTTTGTTGAAAAATTAAACGAAAAATTGAGAAAAAATTGTGATTTCTTCGATTTTTTAATTTCTCAATTCGAAATTTTTATATTTTTCGTTTTCTTAATTGATAATTTTTCGATTTTTCAGTGTTTCGATTTCTCTATTTTTTAGTTTTTCGATTTTCATTATGGAATTGTTGCATTTTTCAGTAAAATTTTTCTATTTTTCGATTTTTTAATTTGTAGATATTTTAATTTTTCGATTTTCTAATTTGCTTTTCAAGTTTTCGATTTTCTATGTGTTGAATTTTATAATTTTTCGTTTTTTCCATTTTTCAATTCCTAGATTTTTAATTTATCACTTTTTCAGGTTTCTATGTTACATTTTCGACTTTACAGTTTCTATCTTTTTCTCAGATGTTCCATTCTTTAATTGTTTTTTCGTTATGCAATTTTCAGTTTGCTAATTTTTTCAATTTTTCGATATTTCAAGTTTGATTTTTCAATTTTTGATTTTCAATTTTTCATTTCTTCGATTTTTCCATTTTTAATTTTTTTTTTTCAAATTTACAATTTTGTAATTGTTTCATTTTTAAATTTGCCGATTTTTAATTTTTCACTTTTTGCAAATAATTATTAGGGTCTTTATTATTCAAGTTTTGACTTTTCCATTTTCGGATTATTCAGTTTCTGCATTTTTTTAATTTTTTGATTTCTCAACTTTTAAATTTTTCGGTTTTTAGTGTTTCGTTTTTACAATTCCTTAATTTTTTAGTTTTCCGGTTTTTATTTTAAAATTTTTGAACTCTGAAATTAATTTTTTTTTTTTTGAATTTTTGATTGTTTAATTTATAGAAATTTTTGTTTTTCGTTTTTTCAATTTTTCCCTTTCTCGATTTTTAATTAATCAGGGTTTTCAGGTTTCAATACTACAATTTTTCGATTTTTCAATTGTTTTTTCAATTATCCCATTGTTCGATTTCTCAATTTTTTCATTTTTCGATTTTTCAATTTTTAAATTTTTCTATATTTCAAGTTTCATTTTTCAGTTTTTAAGTCTCATTTTTTCGGCTTTTTCAAGTTTTCGTTATTTTTTCAATTCTTCGATTTCTCAATTTTTTTATTTTTCTATTCAATTCAAAATTTCGGTTTGAATCAATTTGTCCTTTTGTTGAAGAATTAAAAAATGACAAATCGAGAAAAATCGAGTATTTGAAAAATTTTATATCGAAAAACTGCAAAATTGTTTCTTTTTGTTGATTTTTTCAATTTCTCGATTTTTAATTATTTTGTTTTTGATGTTTCAGTGTGTAAATTTTTCAGTTTTTCAAAAGTTCAGTTCGCATCAATTTGTCCTTTTGTTAATTAATTAAAAAATAAAAAATCGACAATTTGAAAAATATTAAATCGAAAAATTGCAGAATTGTTGCGTTTTGTCGATTTTTCAATTTCTCGATTTTTAATTGTTTTAGCTTTAAAATTTTTGGATTTTGAAATCAATTTTTTTTATTGTTTAATTTATAGAAGTTTTTGTTTTTCATTTTTTCAATTTTTCACTTTCTCGATTTTTAATTAATCAGGGTTTTCAGGTTTCCATATTACAATTTTTCGATTTTTCGATAGTTTTAACATTTTAATTAATCGATTTTGAGTTTCTTTATTTTTTCAATTCTTCGATATCTCAATTTTTAAATTTTGGGTCTTCAGTGTTTCTTTTTCGATTTTCAGTCTTTAATTTTTTGATTATTCAATTTTTCAGTGTTACAATTTTCCAATTTTTTTGATTTTTTAAAATTTCAGTTTTAATAAATTTGTCTTTTTGTTGAAAAATTAAAAAAGGAAAAACTGAGAAAATAAAAACTTAAAAATAAAATACTTCCAAGTAGATAATTCCAAATTACTTTGTTTCTTCGAGTTTTTAATTTCTCAATTCGAGATTTTTATATTTTTCGTTTTCTTAATTGATAATTTTTCAATTTTTCCGTGTTTCGATTTTTCCATTTTTTAGTTTTTCGATTTTCATTATGAAATTGTTGCATTTTTCAGTAAAATTTTTGTATTTTTCGATTTTTTAATTTGTAGATATTTTAATTTTTCGATTTTCTAATTTGCTTTTTAACGTTTCGATTTTCTGTCTGTTGAATTTTACATTTTTCGTGTTTTAGATTTTTCAATTCCTAGATTTTTAATGTATCACTTTTTCAGGTTTCAGTGTTACAAATTTTCGATTTTACAGTTTCTATCTTTTTCTCAGTTGTTCCATTTTTTAGTTCTTTTTTCGTTACCCAATTTTCAGTTTGCCAATTTTTGCAATTTTTCGATATTTCAACTTTGGTTTTTCAAATTTTAATTTTCAATTTTTCATTTCTTCAATTTGTCCAGAATTTCGTTTTTTCGATGTTACAATTTTTTTTATTTTTCCATGTTTCCTTTTTACAATTTCTTAATTTTTTAGTTTTCCGGTTTTCATTTTAAAATTTTTGAACTTTGAAATTATTATTTTTTTTTGTATTTTTGATTGTTAAATTTATGGAAGTTTGTGTTTTTTCAATTTTTCACTTTCTCGATTTTTAATTAATTAGGGTTTTCAGGTTTCAATGTTACAATTTTGCCATTTTTCAATTGTTTTTTCAATTATCCCATTGTTCAATATCTCAATTTTTTTCTGTTTTCGATTTTTAAATTTTTTGATTTTTCAATTCAATTCAAAATTTCGGTTTGAATAAATTTGTCCTTTTGTTGAACAATTAAAAAATGACAAATTACATTGTAAATGGTAATAACCCGAACGAAAAAAAATAGAAATTGGGCATTTGTTTTTTACAAACAAAGAAGAAAGGTTGGAGGAAGTCTTAAAGGCAATGTTATAATCTAGTTTTCTGAAAATTTTAAAAATGGACAGAGAGGAAAAACCAAAGAGGAGTCTCTGATTGGAAATTCGTTTGAATTTATTTAAAGATACCAAGTTCACTCTCAAAGTCTTCATGACTCAGGGGAATGAGAAATACTCTAAAGAATAAGGAACTGAATGCTGCGAATTTATGGGTTGAGCGATGAAGAGAAGACCAAGGAATGATGGATCAGCAGTGGTAGGTTAAGGTAGGTAAGTCTAAAAATGAATGGAATTTGATTTTTTTGTGTAAATTCTGTTTCAAAACTAGTCACATAATATGAACAGGTTCATGGTATAAAGAAGTCTTCTGGTACCATGATCAGGTTAAGGATATGCGTAAGGGGTAAATCTGATTCAAAATAAAAGGTTACTAATTAAGGTCAGAAGGTGTTGTGTAAATGCCTCCTTGTGTTAGAAAAAAAAATTTAGTGGTCGCTCTATTAGTTGCGCCACATGTAGGCAACCAACTATGCACTAATTACAGTTGTTTATCTGTCAAATATGCAAAGTTGGCCGCATTAGGGCGCTGATGCAAATTTTCTGCAACACCCCTATATTATATTTGATGTCAACAATTTTGAAATAAACAATATAATCACAAAACATCTTTATTAGACGACAAAACACTCATAAAAAGATTGGAACATTTGAAAGTAATGATGTTAAACACTTGGCAACACTGATGTTCAAAAAATTGACATATGTCATTCGAGGTGATGACTGTGTGTTTTCTAAAAGCAGAACATACAAAGTAATTGTTGTATTAGTGCTTTGTGAGCACAAGTAATAAAAATTATCTCTTGAGTGTAGTGAGTATTCAACACCAAATCAGATGGTAAGAAGTTTATGCCAGTTATTAACTTCAAACTTTCAAACTTAATTAATTCCAAGGGTCAAAGCCAGTCAGGTCCGGGAGGCGGCGATAAAAAAGAAGAAAAAGACAAAAAGAAAAAATATGAACCCCCAATTCCCACTCGTGTTGGAAAAAAGAAGCGCCGCACTAAAGGTCCTGATACGGCCCTAAAACTACCAGTGGTCACCCCGCATACGCGATGTCGGTTAAAATTATTAAAACTTGAACGCATCAAGGACTATTTATTAATGGAAGAAGAATTTATCCGTAACCAAGAACGCTTAAAGCCGCAAGAAGAGAAAAACGAGGAAGAAAGATCAAAGGTTGATGATCTTCGAGGCACTCCAATGTCTGTTGGAAATCTTGAAGAAATCATTGATGATAACCACGCAATTGTTTCTACATCTGTAGGCAGTGAACACTATGTTAGCATCTTATCCTTTGTAGACAAGGATCAGCTTGAGCCAGGTTGCTCAGTACTTTTAAATCATAAAGTTCACGCTGTTGTGGGGGTTCTCGGTGATGACACTGACCCCATGGTGACTGTCATGAAACTTGAAAAAGCTCCACAGGAAACATACGCTGATATTGGTGGTCTTGACACCCAAATTCAGGAAATTAAGGAATCTGTAGAACTTCCTTTGACTCATCCTGAATACTATGAAGAAATGGGTAAAATTATTTATAATTTTTAAAATTAAATTTAAAAATGAAGGCACTTGTTTTACACTTGTTTAATTGCAGGTATTAAACCACCAAAAGGTGTCATTTTATATGGTCCACCAGGTACAGGTAAAACTTTGTTGGCCAAAGCAGTGGCTAACCAGACTTCAGCAACATTTTTAAGAGTTGTTGGATCAGAGCTTATTCAAAAATATTTGGTATGTATAATAGTTCTTTATATACCTATAGAACACACTTACTTAACAAAAAAGAAAAACAACAAAAATAGAATAAAATACAGTAATAAAAAAAAATACTGAAATTCGATAGTAGAAATTGTAATTTTTTTTTATTAACACTATAAAAATTTAATTTCATTTGAACCATAACAAATCGCGTAGCTTTGTTTATCTCTACACAAAATCTTGTAACAGAGATTTTAAATAAAAGTAACTGTACTGCGTTTTTTTTTTTTGTGAAGTCTTCCATTAATGTTAAGTAAATACCAGAAAATTGGAATAACGTGGCAACGTCACATCAGAATTAAAAAACAAAAACTACTGTGGTTGTAAAGCCTAACAAATCTGATAGTTACTAGCATGGGGTAATTCCACGAAAATGTCAACCTCAGCACATTTTTTTGAAAATTGTTAAATTAATGTAAATCTTACAATTAGTGCTTCTAAAAACTTTAAATTTTACTAGCATATATTTGCTTTTACATTATCATAACACCCGCAGTAAAAATTTCTTGTTATTGAGGAATAATAAAATTGTTCAAAGAAATGATAGATATTATATCTTCTTTAACATTGCTAGAAGCAAAGTAAATATCTTGATTTACTTACAATATAAAGCTTGGTTGTAAAGAGTGCACCTGTATTGACAATAATGTACAATCAATACTTATCCCAACATCATCTTTAAAAAAATATTACACTTCTTCTGATATATGTGATAATTGGTGTAAGTAACGACAATTTTCATGTTGTTCGGAAATATTAAAAATAATTGCAAATCGGGTTACATTATCTCTTTTTCTCGTTCTCGCTCTCTATTTTCATTGTACTTTTATTGAAATTACCTTGTGATTATTATTAAAAATCGCATCGTTACTTACACGAAACAGGATAATTTTCTTTCAGTGGCTTACCTTTGAAATTAAATAATTAGTCTTGACAGCGGTCAAACTACCAGTAATTTGATTTTGCTGTGTTAATCAAAGTGTCTTTAACATCCACTGGAAGAGTAAGAAAACACCGACAAAAATTAAAGAGACTCAGAACACCTAAAATCAACCAACCGAAAATATCAGCAGGAATATGGGGCAAACATAAGCTGCACAAAGAAAAAAGACATTCCGCTAAAAAAAAAGTTAAGATACCATGAAAATAAAAAGGAGAAAAGCGAGAAAAGCAAAATGAAAACAAACAAATGGAAATTGCAAATGATGGTACAATCGCACGCAAATGTTTTGAGCCTATGGGCGGATCGTTTTTGCCTGCCCTCACCGAAGAAGGCGGTCCAAATCCTTCAAGGGCAGAACTTGTAGGTAGGCTCAAACTACAACGAAATTTCCATTTGGTAAGAAATATTTATGGCTCACACCAGTTCTCTCGAATTTGTCGGAGAAGATTTAGCAGGTAGTTGTTCCCATAAAATAATGGTCACTTTCGTTCGTGAGTAACGATGGTCCGGACATGAATTATTTTGCTTTATAACATCTTTCGACCAATTGTTCCGTATGAAAAATTTCATCACTTTTTCAAATAAAATACTCTTAAAAAAAAACGATATTGTCGTTGAGTGACATGTAACTGGCATAATAATAAAAACGTGCCATTTTTGTTAACTGATATTTTTTTCATAAATGTCGCAAAATTATTAAATTTGTCTAATCATCCCCACCAATAATGTGATGACGTCACTTCAAATTTATGCATAGGAAATGGGTTTTAAATTATATACAGTAACATAGTCCTACACATGTAGTTTATGACTCCGTGTTGAGTTTTTATTATATTTTGGAAAAAAAATCAAAATTATGAAACAATATTTTGCAATTTAATTTTGAATTTGCAAAATCGAATAATTCGAAATCTTGCAGATGTTTTAAAGTCATGATAAACATGATTTAATTAAAATATATTTGCTTATCCCCTCTAAAAAAATTATGACGTCACCTCAAAATTTTGCAGAATAAATCCTATCTTAAATGTATAAAATATGATGAGTTTTTATACTTGTGATTTATCACTGCATTAATATTTTTTAGATTTGGTTATACAGGGTGTCTCAAAAAAGTTAATGACTGAGTCAATTTATTTTATTGAAGAAATCAAGAATAGAAAAACTGAATACTTTGAAATATTGTAGATGTTTTGAAGTTTTTGTAAGCATGGTAACTTTTTCGAAAATTTGATTAATCAAATATGCGCAAAATCAAAAATCGGAAAAACTGAAATTCACTAATGCAAAAAACAGAAAATCGAAAATTCAATTAATCAAATACCTAGGTCGATCGAAAAGTGGAAATTCACAAACCTCAAAAATCAAAAACAAAAATAAAAAAAAATCGGAAATTAAAATAATCAAAATATATAAAGTAGAAAAAAATTGCAAAGCCTAAAAACTGAAACCAACAGAAAAATCGAAAAAGCAAAAAATTGGAAATCTGAATAAAGAAACTTGGAAATTCTGAAAATTGGAAAATCGAAAACCAAAAAATCGGGAAGTAACAAAATTGAAGTCCAACAGTTGAGAATGGAAAAATTGAAAAACCGAAAATTCTAAAAATCGACAATGGACAAATTGAAAATCGCAAAATTTAAATTGAAAAATTGAACATAGAAAAATCCATGAATTGAAAAATCGAAAATTCGACTACTCAAATTTTCTAAAAATCGAAAAATCATAAAACTGAAAAATTCAAAATTCTAATGATGGAAAGTCTGAAAACTGAAAATCGAAAATTCTGAAGAGCGGAAAATAGAATATCGAAAAATTTAAAAGAAAGAAAATTGAAGTCTAAAAACCGAAAAATGGAAAAATTAAAAATCAAAAGTTCGAAAAATCAAAACCGAAAAATTCAAAGATTTAAAAAGAAAATCGAAAAATAAAAAATTTGAAAATTTGAAACTCGAAAATTTGGAAAATCGAAAAGTAAAAAAATTGAAGTCTAAAAGTTGAAAAATGGAAAACTGAACAATCGAAAATTCGAAAATCAAATATCGAAAAATCGAAAAGCCGAAAAATCGAAAATTTGATAAATCAGATATGCGAAAAACAGAAAATCTGAAAATACAAAACTGGAAAATCAAAAATTTAAAAATGGAAAAACCGAAAATCGAAAATTCAATTAATCTAATACGTAGGTCGATCGAAAAACTGGAAATTCACAAATCTGAAAAATCGAAAATTTGCAAGATTGAAAAACGGAGAATAGAAAACACAAAAAACCGAAAAATGGAAAAGTCAAAAATCGAAAAATAGGAAAACCGAAAATTCGAAAATTCATAATATTGAAAACTCTAAAAGTCGACAATTCAAAAATCAAAAAATTGGAAAGTAAAATAATCGAAAAATCTAAAAGTAAACAAATTGCAAAGCCTAAAAACTGACGAACAGAAAAATCGAAAAACCGTAAAATCAAAAAGTAGAAAATCGAAAACTGGAAATTGAAAAATCGAAGATTGGAAAATCGAAAAATCGAAAATCGGAATATCGAGAATCGACAAATTAAAAAACCGAAAAATCGAAAAATTAAAAAATCGGAAATCGAAAAATGAAAAAAAAAAACGAAAATTCAAAAATCGAATAATCCGAAACTAAAATAATAGAAAAGTGGAAAAGTAAAAATTACAAAGTCTCAAAACTGACGAACAGAAAAATCGAAAAATAAAAAAAAATCGAAAAATATCTAAAAATGGAAAATCGAAAAATCGAAAATCGGAAAATGGAAAAACCGAAAAATCGAAAATTCGATGAAACATACTCAAAAAAACGAAAAGTAAAAAAATTGCAAGGCCTAAAAATTGAAAAATTAAAAAATCGGAAAAATGAAAATCGAAAAAACGACGATCGAAAAAAAATAAAAAAATCGAAAAGTGGAAAATCGGAAAGTAACAAAATTGAAATCTAAAAGCTGACGAAGGGAAAATTCTAAAAAGCAACAATCGAAAAAAGCAAAATTAAAAATTGAAAAATGGAAAATCGAAAACTCGAATATCGAGATTTTGAAAAATCGTAAAAATGATAATCGAAAAATCGAAATGCTCAAAAATCGAAAATTCGATTAATCAATATTCTAAAAATCGAAAAAACGGACACAAATCCACAAATCTGAAAAATCGAAAATCAAAATACGAAAAATTAAAAAACCGAAAAATTGAAAAACCGAAAATTCAAAAATCAAACTATCGGAAAGTAAAATAATCGAAAAATGGAAAAATAAAACAAATTGCAGAACTATAAAAACTGAAACAAACAGAAAAATCGAAAAACCACAAAAGCGGAAAAACGAAAATCGAAAAATCGTAAAATCAGAAAATGGAAAATCGAATAATCGAAAGTTGAAAAATCGATGGTCGAGAAATAAAACAACCGAAAAATCGAGAATAGAAGAATTAAAAACGTAAAATCGAGAATTCAAAAATCAAAAAAATCGGAAAGTAAAATATAATCGAAAAATGCAAAAAAATTGCAAAATCTAAAAACTGACGAACAGAAAAATCCAGAAATCTAAAAATGGAAAGACGAAAAATCGAAAATTGAAAGAATGGCAAATCAAAAAATCGAAACATCGAAAAATCAAAAAAACGAAATCTTAAAAAATCGAAAAACGAAAAAACTAAAAACTCGAATATTCAAAATACCGCAAATTTGAAAAATCAGAAAATTGGAAAGTAATAAAATCGAAAAGTTGATAGAAAAATTGAAACTGAAAAATCTAATTCGATGAAATGGTTGGTCCAAAAAACGAAAAATCGAAAATCGAAGTGATCTTTTTTTGAGACAGGCTGTATAAGTAAATTTAAAAAATATTACTGCAATGATAAATCACAGGTATAGACTCATCATATCAAATTTTACGATGACGTCATGCATTTTTTGGCGAAGATAAGCAAACACATTTTGATCGTGGCTTTGAAAGTATTCTTCGACTTTCGTTCCATTTCAAAATTTACTCTTTGTATATTTCAGTGGTCACAACGAGTTCACTAACTACGCTGAAGTATGCGAAGATTAAATTTGTCACCGAAAAGATGTCGGAAGTAATAAATTATCCTATCGGTCGAAAAACGTTCGGTCCGGTGTTACACCTCGACTCAAGAGAGACCGCAGTAAAGGATAACAAATGAAACGGATAAAATAAAGCCTCAAACATGATTGATAAACTTTAAACCAAAATTGTACACTTCAAAAAATGTCCGTGACTTATTTTAATATGAATCTTATAACTACACAATTAGACCTAATATTAGTGTGATTTTGAGCATATTCTCGATTTTATTAGAGCAGAAATAGGTTTTTTTTTTCTAATTTTATAACTTACGGAAACTAATAGCACATCACACATATTGCAAAAAAAATTGGGCTCAGGTTACAACTAATCGACAAGATTTCAAAGTATTCAGTTTTGCAATTCTTGATTTCTTCAATAAAATAAATTGACTCAGTCATTATTTTTTTTGAGTCACCCTGTATGTATAAACAAAACCAAAAAATATAAATGGAATGGTAAATCACAAGTATAGACTCATCATATTCTGAACATTTTAGATAGGGTATTTATAAAATTCAAACTAATTCAGAGTAAGAATTTGGTCAACACGTAAATTTCGTTGTAGTTTGAGCCTACCTACAAATTCTGCCCTTGGACGATTTGGACCGCCTCCTTCAGTGACGATCGGCAAAAATGATCCGCCCATAGGCTCAAAACATTTGCGTGCGATTGTACCTAATATCATCAAGTAAATAAATTGTAAATTCGGTAAATTTGAATATTTTTTCTTTTAGCACTTGATCCTTTTACTTTAATATTACATACATTGTTTATTTCAACTTACCTGCTGATATTTTCGGTTGGTTGATTTTAGGTATTCTAAGTCTCTTTAATTTTTGTCGGTGTTTTCTTACTCTTTCAGTGGATGTTAAAGACATTTTGATATTACTGAGGAAGCAGCAATTGTGAGTGAAAATTTGCCTGAATCAACTTTGGCTGTCATTTCAACTTACAATAGTTTAAAATACATGGCTGTATGAGCACAAGCAGGGATGTAAAAATTTTGCTGGCTAGCCAGTTAGCTGACATTTTCATGTTGAATACAGTGACTTGATAAATTGATGTTTACAAGTGAGGAACAAATAAAAAAACTTTTATAACTAAATAATGATAATAATATATTTAATAAAACATACATAAAATAATACACATGTTATACAAACATATGCTATTCATATTGCAAATTATAGGGTGATGGACCAAAATTGGTAAGAGAGTTGTTTAGGGTTGCAGAAGAACACGCACCTTCTATTGTGTTTATTGATGAAATAGACGCAGTGGGAACAAAAAGATATGACTCCAATTCAGGTGGAGAACGTGAAATTCAGAGAACTATGTTGGAACTACTCAATCAATTGGATGGTTTTGATTCCAGAGGAGATGTTAAGGTATGTATGATGTTATTTAGTTACAATATTATGAAATGTTTGTAGGTAATAATGGCCACTAATCGAATTGAAACTCTTGACCCAGCTTTAATTCGACCTGGCCGCATTGACAGGAAAATAGAGTTCCCATTGCCTGATGAAAAAACAAAAAAAAGAATATTTAACATTCATACATCAAGAATGACGCTTGCTGAAGATGTTAATTTACAAGAACTTATCATGGCAAAAGATGATCTATCCGGTGCTGATATCAAGGTACTTCACTTTTTAAGTTATTATTAAGTAATCTATCATTATTCTTTTTAGGCAATTTGCACTGAGGCTGGATTAATGGCTCTTCGAGAGAGAAGAATGAAAGTCATGAATGAAGATTTCAAGAAGTCTAAAGAAAGTGTGTTATATAGGAAGAAGGAAGGAACTCCTGAAGGACTTTATTTATAAACTAGTAAACTTTTTGTGTACTTTTAATTCAACTAATAAATCAATAAATAGCAGTTTTTTCAGATTCCATCCTGTAATTGTTTTAAGTTTCTATCATTTATTTCCGTTTGTTGAGCAACAACTTCAGCAATGCTTCTATTGAAAAGTTCCTTATTTTCACAAAGTTGACACCACGCTGTTTTTGCGTTCACTGGATGCTTCTCCAGATGTTCCTTTTTGTTCTGTGTTAACTCACAACTAAAACGTAAACGTATAATCATATTTTTATAAAAAAGCGAGTACATACAATAAAGATCCGTTAAATTCTCCAACTGAATACGCCGCCCGGAAACCCTCAATAAAACCCTGGTCGAAATATTCCTGGAAAGTGCTGTTTCTTCCAAAGGATAACCCATCTCCAAAACCTATCTTAAATTTTTGATTGTTACTTCAACAGATTTAACAACAAAGAAAAGATGAAACATTACGATGTAAAAAACATAACCTATACAACAGCATAAAATGTTTTTGTAAATAATCTGACGCGACGATATTACTACGTTTACCTATTGTTCATTTGTTCCAAATTTTTGTCAACACTTACAGTTTTTATATTATTTTCGACATTTTGCCAGGTTTTTTGAATTTCTTTCAAATCATGCAAATGATTTCTCTTGACAGATACTGTATCTGCATCCATTATTGTTGCGCGGCGACTCAGAACTACCAACCAAGCAAAAAAATATAATCTTTTTCTGCATTCAAATTTAAGTTGGCGACATTGAATAGGTGGATTTCGCGGCACCACATTTAAAATATCAAAAACCAAGATTGATTGCGCCCAAAAGTGATACAGTTAAGGCTCCGCCACACAGTCATTAAAAGATGCCAAAACAAGGCAAAACGCCAACCCATTTTGCGCCTTTATTTTAACAGTTGAAGAGCAGGGCGATACATGTGCGTGCTAATGACATAAAAATCTTTAAGGAAGCGTCTTGTATTTTTTTAAAAACGTAGCAGTTTTTAAAATAAAAAATAAAGTGCGTAAAACCCCAGCGGATTTTTAGCGAAAACTATAACTCGGTGTGCTTTTAAAAAATATCGAGGTGATAGAGAATTTTTTTCTACTTTAGGCGCCATTCTTCGTTTTCTGTTAAAATTTTACTTCTTTTAGTTATTGTAAAAAAACTGCAAAGCATTTTGGGCTAATTTTGGTAAGTTAGGCAACCCAAAATATTAGCTGAGTCGGTAAGCTGTAATTTACGGCCCACACAATAGAGCACCTTTTAAATACCTTAAGCTTATTTGACCACCCTTTGAAGTACCTGACAATAGCATTAAGAAGGATATATATATCTTTTAGTTATATGCACTGGACCCTGTTATACTTGATACATACCTATAGTTGTGGTTCGGGTTCAAACTAGGTAATTGTAATAACTGCATTTATTGAACAATAAATTAATGATTTTATTTTTAACAGCTCTTTAATATTTTTACTGCAAGCCGCATATGAACATTTAATCTCTGCAATTGAATTAGAATTTATTAACCCATCTGGAGAAGCTCCTAAAAATTGTTTTCAAATTTGTTAGAGCTTCAAATTTTTCTTTGGCCTTTTCTTCATTGTCAATAGCAAATTGTATAGACTTGCGCAATTTTTTCATAAAGTTTTATCGGAATGCACAATACTTTTAACGGTATTTGCGATGTTAATTCCGTCTCTCATTTTGTCCTTTCTTTACTCCATTTCCTACACATTCGCTGACCACAAGTACCTTTTTCAATAGCATTTACGTTACTCTGTGACAGCTTTATTAATAAATCCGATTTTTTTCTTTCATACACTTCGTTTTCGTTTGTTCATCGTTGACGATATTATTTTTACCGGAATCCAGACTTCGGATACGCAATTTTTTAATAGAGGTTTTAGTTTTATTAATCGTTTTTGTTTTTTTCAATTTTTGTTCCACAAACGCCTTCGTATACTCACATTGGCCTCCCCAATTTTTTTTTTTTTGAATATCGGAATTAGGAACGTACCCTTATTATTATAACTTATTGCCGCATCACCCTTGATACGATCCTCGTGCAGAAAAACTTAAAAATTTATTCTTTTTCCTCCTACAAATTTATTAACGACAGAATTGTAGCATTCCACAGCATTGTTCTCAATATCAAAAAGTAAACTAGATGACAAAGTTGCAATTCTATTTAAAACTTGTTTGTAAGGTTCGTATAAAACACCATTTGCGAAAGTAGAAAATAAAATATCATTTGACTGTCCACTTTTATAACAAAAATAACTTGCACATTGTTCGTGATTGCCAAATATATGCTGGAAAAGAAGGAAGAGGCTCATTTTTGCTAAATTTAATAGCACTTATAATTGCTGTTCTAAATTTTAGAATACTATTTTTAAAAACATTTTTAATAGTGATACCTGCTTTCGTTGTTTTAACTATTTCTCTAATTTTGGAACAATACTTACGAAGTATGTGATTTCTACATTCAATTTTTTCTATAAAATAATATGCATCATTTGGTTTTGCAGCCCAAACTTTTTTTAATACGCTACTATCCTCGTCGCCTATAATTCTCCTAAAAAGTATCTAAAGTAAATCCCTCTAAGATAATTGAAGCTTCCATGGACATAGATGTTTGCTCCCCGTTTTTAAAACAGGTATGTGTTGGAATTTCTTTTTTCTGTTTCATATAGATTTTACAGAAACTACAAAGTTTGTTTTTGACTCCTACATAAAGTATTTTTTTAGTTCTGGCACCAATTATACGTCCTACCCCAGACAGTGCATTGTAACGGTAGTATATGGGACGCAATCATTATCTACCTCCCTCGCCTTCACAGCTAATCGGTACTCTTCTTTACCTGCGTTTTGGTTTGTTCTTCGAAAAGTGCTTCGATGCTTTTTAGAACTCTAGCCTCGGCTTTACGATATGTCGCCTAGGGTTTTTGAGGGATATCTAGAGCTGAACAAAATTCTGAAATTTGAGAATAACCTACGACCGTTGATCTAACTCCACAAATAGCTGCATAATTGACTTTGTATACATATATGGTTTTCAGGTTCTGTACAAAAATTACCAAATATTCCGTACATATTACATTTGTAGTAGAAAACACTTTTTAAACCATAACAATTTTCATGAGTTATTTCAATATTATCTAAAATACAACCCAACATAATATGACTGATTGATTTCAGTGTTGTTAATAAGTGGCCTATGTCAACAATTCTATGTCCAGTACTAATTTCTCGACGTGTCATGACCTCTAGAGTACGAAAAAAGTGGTCTCCCGTTTCCGTATGTCTGTCTGTCTGTCTGTTTATCTGGCTATCTGTCTGTCTGGAGTCTGTATCGATTTTTTCTTAGACAAGTGTTCTTCGAAACTACTGGATCGATTATTGCCATATTTTGTATGTATATTAGAAATATCATGTAGATGGTTAAACGCTAACTAAAATTTGGCAAATCATCTCCACCACCAATGGGATGACGTCATCTCCAAAATTTATAATACAAAGTTTTTTAAATTTGATAAAATTAGATACTCCTGCACTTGTGGTGTGTAAATCCGTGTAGAATTTTCACTCTAGACATCTAGAATTTTTGGACAAAATTTTAACATATCCGGGTTCTCATAAAAAAAATTAAATTCGCATAATCAAATTCTATAATTTTTCGAAAAAGCTGGGTTTGTTTTATTGTATTGCAGAGGCGAGAGAAGTTCTGTTGAAATAACCTTCCGCCAATTTGCTTCATTCAAAATACATTCCGAGAGGTAACTAGGTATGTACCTACCTAAATTTCTAAGATTTCGGGTTGAAAAATTCCAAGATTACTAAGAAATACTCACAATAACGAACCTTCGTACCTACAATAAAATATTCTTGGAAATTTAATTTTACTTTTCTACCTACTTACAGAATATGCCCAACACGTACGAATTTTTATGGAAACAGGAATTTAAAAATAAGAGGAAGAATTATGGTCGGAATTATATATATGAACAAGCATTTTTTTGTTGTGTGTATTGCGAGTAAAGATCTCAACAGTCTCTGACAATGATTTTATTAATTTATTTTAAAACACACATTTGGCTTTTTTCTTTTCTTATGACAGTAAATTAGGTTAAACCGCATATCAAAAATTCTCTTTCAAGGGACTTTATGCTAAAAAAAGGTAGGAGGTGCTATTTAAAAAATTATCGATGACGTCATACACCTGTCAAATATCGCTCAAAACTTTTGAAACTAATATTACAAAATGGCAATTTTTATATACCAGTAGACGTGTTTTTGCGTTTTTACTTCTCGAACGTAAGCTAAGAAATATTGTTTGTTTTCTTTCATAGTAGATAAATATTTTAGTTCCTTACTCTGCTCTACCTGCAAGCTGGGATACACTTCCCCCGCTGACAATAGCAGTAATATAGTATAGGAGCTAGCAACGTTTTCGAGAAAGAATTTCAGGTCAGCTGATTCTTTGATATTTTGTTCGCCTTCCTCTATCGGGTAGACCCTAGCCCATCTGGCTGGCCGTGGCGGTTGCGTTTATTAGTGCGCATCCTACCTGTACAGGTAAAAATCCCAGATTTTGAAAGCATTTTAAGAAGTTTAATTTTTAATTTCTTGTTTTCAGATAGGTTTATTAAACACAATTATTTTATTGCCAGACACTTTTATCGTTGCAAACTACATGCCATACGCATTTTTTTTTTTTATCAAATTTTCAAACCATTTTAGTATGTCTGTCATTTTAATATTATGTTCCTTTAGTACTCAAAAACCTAAAATTAATTTGCCAGACATTAATTCGATTGCTAAACCTTGAAAAAGAACGACATTAGTATCGTTGATGGTTTTTTCATCTTGCACACCATGAAAGATGTACCACAAATCTTCGATGCTATCTCTAAAAAGTTTCTTTCTTCGATCTCCCAGATGAAATCTGATCGTATTGATGTGATTTTTGACCAGTACTTTTCAACTTCAATTAAAGATTTTGAACGTTCACGGCGAGAAGAGTCAACTACCCCTGTATCAATTGGTCCTAATCAAATTCGGCCACACAATTTCTCAGTAGAACTGAAGAACATCGAATTTAAAATAGCTCTAGTTAACTTTTTTATTGATCACTGGGATGGTGAAGACATGGTACCTTTCATTGGTGAAAAAATCATTTATGTCAGTTTCAACAAATGTTATTCATATAAAGTGTTGAATAACAAAGTCGTACGGAGCGTTGAAGAATCTTTATCATGTGAAGAACATGAAGAAGCTGATTCTCGCATTATTTATCATATCCCCAGTAACATTTTATATGTAATCAATATTGAAGTTCTAACATTTAAATAATATGGGTAACGACAGATTTTTTTTTTAAAAATCAATATTGGTTTTAAATATTGAATATATATTTATTTTCAATGTTTAATACTTATTTAGTTCAGAACATTTAATAAATGTTCTTCATATGAAAGGGGGTATGGATATAAAAAAAACTTGTATGGAATACAATATAAAATTTATTAAACACAAAAATATATTGTCACTGGAAATAACAGTGTATTTGAAACGTTGCGGCAATATTTATACATTTAAAAATTATATGTCCTAGAACCAATTCGTTGAAAATTTGTACCGGGTGATTGTTTTTTAATTTTTGCTGTAGTTACCCATGACACTTAT